ACGCTGCTTCCGTCGTCCACCATTATTCTTTTCACATTAGTATCCACAATATGTAAAGTAATAACTAGAGCATCGTAGTGAGGGAAAGACAAACCGTCGGTATCTGACTTATCGAAGACGATACTATCTTCGAGGTCATCATACCGTTCATGAGTGATTGACCGTTTGAGTTTGTGTGCAGTGGTGAATTTCACATAGTTGATTGTTGTCCCGTCACCCCCACCGATGATCATTTGTATGGTACAAGTAGGAGAGGGCGATTTTGGAGGTCCTTGGGGTTGCTCGCGTCCGCAGGCAAAGTTGGCTCGCCCTTGGCCTCTCATCAGTTCTCTTATGTGTCCCTGATTTAGCATTCTCACTACCTCCAACCGCAGACTTCTACAGTCCTTGATTTTATGACCCCGTTCCTGGTGAAATTCGCATAGGGCATTTGATTTTCGAGTACTTGGATCGGACTTCAGCTTTTGTGGCCATTGTACCTTCGTGCCGAGCTTCTCTAGCGCGTACACTATCTTTGAAGGAGAAACACAAAAATTGTGAGCAGATAAGAGCGGAGGCATACCTCTTTCGTTTTGCGGTGTCGCGGTATGCCGAGGAGGGCCATTCGTGTGATGCGGGGGATGTGGGATGGCTATTCTTATGTAGGGTTGATGTCTCTCTCGAACGAGATGGGGCCCCAACTGATCCCTTCGACCGTCATTACAATGATCCTTCCTTGTTTCTACTTGAACTGACGTCAGCCATTGGATCAGGCCATTGAGATCGTCCTCGTCGGCTCTTACCTCGACACAATAGGCGTTGTGGATTTCTTCCCAAGTGGTGGGATGGTATTTCATGAGCCTGCTTACTAGCTTTCTGGTTTCTCTCGACCTATTTCTGCTCAACCCATTCTGGAAGGCTGCTATTGCCATCCCTTCTGATACATTCAATAGGCTCATTCTCACCCTGTTAAACCAGGCTAGGAAGTCCCTAAGTCCCTCGCCAAGTGTCTGCCTAACGAAGAATATGTCATTTACCCTGGCTTCCGCCTTTTTAGACCCCGCATGAGTAGTGACAAACTTGTCCTCCATTTCTTCGAACGTTGCTATTGACCGTGCCAGTAGTTGTGAGTACCAGGTTAGGGCTCTCCCTGTTAGGGTTTTGCCAAACTTTTTCAATAGCACTGATAGTACATGTTCTTTCGAAAGATCGTTTCCTTTTACCGTTGTGACGTAGTGAACGATATGTTCTTCTGGGTCTGTAGTACCCTCGTATATCTTCAGGTACAGTGGCATTTTGAAGGTTTTAGGAATGGAATGGGGGTTGCTTCCTCGTTGCATGGTTGCTCGATGAATCGACTAACGTCCCATTTCGGTAACAACTTTGGGGCACCTAGTATCTTATCGACCATATCTTGATGCTCCTTCATCTGGTCGCGGAGCGTCTTATTTTTGTTTTCCATTTCTTCTATTTTCTTTAGAATGGCTGCGAGTGCGTCACTACCTGCATCAACAGTGGTGCTCTGTTACCAGTTCGGGGGGCATCTTGTTCGCCGGTGGCTGTCGTGATTTTTACATGTACAATGTCCCTGTTATCCCTTTGGGTATGTTTATCAAGTATATTGTTCAGAGTGCTTGTTAGCCATTCTTCCAGTAGCCTTTTATCGCTGGTGGTGCTTCTTCCGTTATTGACGTGGAGGCTTCTTTTTCACACGAAGCAGTAACGCTTTCGCGGGAGGAGGTGAAGCATTTCGCCTAGGCGTAATGCTTGGCATCACTTTTTCATTGTCCTCCCTATCATCTTCGTTGATGGTGTTCAAGCTGTTGGCAGCGACACCTGTTATCTTTTTCAACCTTGCATCTTCTTTCCCTGCCATTGTTAGTTGGTGCAAACGAAGAAAAGGTGTTTTTTCTATGATCTAAAAAGAACTATAGTTTTAACTGAAAAACTCCCCACAGATGGCGCCAAATTGTTTGTGCAGATAAATGCTAAACTAATTAGTGATAAATTAATAGGATGAATCTCAATTGAATTTAATAATCTCTAGATCAAAGGGAACTAAACTTTTGTATGATGAGTAGAGTTTATAAGCATTAAATAGTGAACTTAATATGCCATGATTGACAAGATGTGCAATATCATAAAAGTGTAATAAATGCTAGAAATAACAAGGATTGTAGTATATAAGAGTAGTCACCTAATGATTATATAATTAGGTGTTTCCTTTCTCTGGCGACGTGGAAAGGAAAGCAGTCAATATCTATGTGGGATCTTGAGATTTGTAGATAAATGATGAACAACATGTGCATGGATGAAATGAATAAGACAACTTTCTTGTATGTTCTTTTCTCAATCTTACAATATCTGTCAGTTCTCGAAAATAACCAATCCCCCTCTTGTTTACTATCTCCTCCTATTTATAAGGGACATTCCCCAAAAAACCCTAAAAAGTACAGCACAAAGAATATTCCAAAGGTATATTCTTCCTGTTTCTTTCTAAGTTTAGACTACCGAAACTACTTCATTTCAACCACTCGCCTTTGGTCATCATCCTTTACACAACGACCATTAGTCGCTGTATTGTAGTGACTTTGTCCCAAGCCTCACTTATCCGTTGCTGTGGTTGCCAAATTTAGACCAATACAATCCTTAGCGCTATTTTTGACATCCTCTGGGAGGGTGTCCTTAGCACTGATTATTTCACTGATCACAAGCTCTATGGAAAGCTCAATTAATAATCTCTAGATCGAGTATCTTTGAACTGTCAATACAATTTAATTGTTTTCATTTTCTTTTCAAATTCTATCTTGGATGGTTTGAAGTTTGGAATTAGCTTCCTTCTCTGCTCAAGATTAAGAAATTAGTGAGCTCTAATTTTGGGTTCCTGAATTGTTGTATCGTAGTCAACACACAAATCATAACAAATTTAGTGGCAGAAACCATTTCTCAGCAAGAAACGTGTTCAGTAAGTTCATCGCTTCGCCTGTTACTTAATAAAAATAAAGTACATCATATTGGTAAAGATAATATTGATGTACTATAACATTAAGGATCCAGAATATAAGAATTACTGTAGATAGACTTGGCAAAAAGTAGCTTCTTAAGTCTAAAGATAGAAGCAATGTATCGTTATTGTTCCTTGGAGATGACACAACAACTTCTAGTGTCTCAATTACAAACAGGGTGCTTGCTGGTGAGTGCTTCGAATGTAATAACAGGGTCAGAATAGTGTAAATAACAAGATCTTCATATTGGAAACCCAAGAAATGCACAGATTATAATTAGAGTCTGCCAATAAGATGGCCTCAGATTTCCATTTAGTAATGGTAAGAGACTTGGAGAATAAAATAAAAACTTTCGTTAATGTATGATGAAATTGATTATACCTTCAAAATATTGCTTCTTCTACATTTGTCATTTTGATACACACTCAACATATAATATCAGTATGTACATATGTGAAAAAGAATGGCTCACCACAAATTTTAACTATTTCTACACTAGTGTTCTACCGCAAGAATTTGGCACTTCTTACGAGTTTATAGTTTATAGTTTCTAGGGTTTGCGCTTAGAACCTAACTAGCACTAATCAAACACTTGTATGGGCAAAAAACTTCATATCGTATGTTGACTAGGTCAACGAAAACGAAATCTTTGGAGGCTGCTACATGTCGTCGATATGACATGTTAACTTGATTTCAAAAGGTCGACATCACGAGAAGATGGCAGATCGTCAACGAGGTCGAGGCAGTCAGATAAAGACGAAGATAAGGATGAGGACGAGCACCCCTCTTCGGCATACAGTAACGGCCAGTTCCAGGATTTATATTCCCTAGAGAATATTTTAGTGAATATTAGTTGTACTATCTCAGGTTTTGTGCCCCATGTACCCTTATAAATAGGAAGATATATAGTTATATAAAGGGATTGAACATTTTTGTAAAGAACAATATTGACATTCTCTGAAGATTCTCTCTTTATCGTATACATACAAAATCTTCCTTTTACACATTTATCCGTCTTGTCTTCCCCGATTCAAGAAGAATTAGAATATTCAAAGGCTTATCATTATCCACCATAGTGAGAAGGGTGACTTTTATTCAATTATTTACTTAAATTCCATTTATTGTCATATATTGTTCTTTTTCATATTCTTGAATTATTTATTACTCCTTTATTGCTCTAAGATATTGCTACCCTATAAAACAAGTGCTGCATTTTTCATAGACACACTAGATCTATCATTTGGACATTAGTATTGACTTAGACTAACCTTTTTCATTATAAATTTAAATGTATAAAAACCTAGATCTAAATTTTGGGTTATATATTTTGGCGCCGTTTGTGGGGATTTCTTAGTTAAGTTTTTACTTTCCATTTCAGATCTGTAACTCTTGTGGTTTGCTAACCTAACGTGCTGTAAGCTATCTTATCTCTCCGTGTATACAAAAACTTCATTGCATGTAACCAAGGAAATGGGACAAAAGCGACAGACAATGCCCCGCTCAACCTAATGAGGGCTATTAACAAAGGGTATGGCACCAAAGATGAGGAGGTGACCCCCACGGCATCCCCCATATTAGGGAAGTCACCTACACCCTTCTGTAGCATAACTAAACCAAATGGAAAGGGGACTTTCATGTCCACAAGAGAGGGAGCACCACCCGCCATGAAAAAGTTCCTCAAAGGTTGGTTAACTGACACTTTGGCCAGTATGATGAGCAAACAAGTCCCATGAACGACCATAGGGACCGTGAGGATCCATGCAGCAGAGAACAGGAACGAACGAGATGACCGACCAAACCCTCCTACTTTAGGTAACACTCATACAATTGTTGACAATGCAAATAACAACTAGAGAACGAGAACAAGGCGCTCAAGGAATAGATGAAGGAGCACCATGAACGGGTAGACAAGATACCAGGTGCACCCAAATTGTTACCAAAAGAGACGCTGACAGGTTTGTGGAACAGCCACATCAAGAGGAAGCGACTCCTTATGCCATACCAAAAACTATCAAGATGCCCATATATCCCCGAATCTATAATGGGATGATCGATCCCGAGGATCATGTAACTCACTATATCATAACCGTAAAAGGAAACGACCTCACCAAAGAGCAAGTTTCCCCCATATTGCTGAAGAAATTTGGCAAAACCCTTTCGGGAGTGGCGTTGACATGGTATTCATTGCTGGCAGCTCATTCCATAGAAACATTTGAAGAGATGGCCGACAAGTTCGTAACTAGACATGCCGGGGCCAAGAAAGTTGAGACAAGGGTGAATGACATCTTCACCGTCAAGCAATCCCCCGGGGAGGGAATGAGAGACTTTATTGCCCAATTCGACAAGGTGAGGATGACTTTACCAAACATCGTCGAAGGAATGGTCGTGGCAGACTTTCAAAATAGGTTGAACAGAAAAGGCTCGAAGGCGACCAGAAAACTATTGAGCCGATTGATGAAGCATCCACATCCCACCTGGGACAATATACATAATGCCTACTGTGTCGAGGTCAAGGAAGATGACGAAGACCTCAACAGGCCAACCTGACTACTCATCTTGGTACAATCCGAACCTAGAAGGAACGCAAGGGCAATGCAAGGAGAGATTTTCCAATATCAAGACCAGGCAGAGAGCGGCATCAACCCTACATTAGGGCGCCCGTCCCCAACTTTCGCCACGAAGACGGACCCTCCAGGCAGAGACAAGCCACTCACAAAGACGATCGAGGTATGTGATGTAGGCTATAATTACGTATTTTTGTCGCTTATTACGCTCTAATTCACTGCACTTTAATTGTGTTTGAACTTTAATCGTTAGTATTTTGTACTTATTGTGTGTTTTATACCTTGTAGGAGTGATTCCGAGCTATGTAAATATTGTGGAGCTAATTCAAGTTATTTGGAGCTCTGAAGTTTGAGTAAAAGCCCAAGGGATTAAGCCTGGATCATGTTCGGGGGTCGAGGACCAAGTCTGGATGTCAAAATGTAATATTTGAGCCGTACTCTGAGAAATTTGCACTAGTGCGACACAGGGTGCGAGGCAATAATGTATCTTTGCTGCCTGTTGAATTTTTAAGCTTCCTGAAGATCTCCAATAGCGTGGGGCCATGGCGCGTCTCCCCATGCAGCACACCTGTGTATTTTTTATAGAGTAATTTTGCTATTTCGGCTAGGAGAAGGTGTTTTCATCTAGGCCCGACCCTACTTGGTATAAATACATGGAAAAATATTATTTTTTGGACTTTTGACATATTTTAGACCTAAGGAAGCTAGGGAGGAGTTGGAGGAGTAAAAGCACAAGGATTTCATCATTCCTTCCTCACTCAAGACCCGAGTTTGGATTGAATGTATGTTTTCTTATCATTCTATTATATTTGTGATTAATTCTCCATGTCTATGGAGTAGTTCCTTATTAGGGTTTGGAGGATTTGGTGTATTGATATTTGTTTGTGGATTATAACTCTAGTTTTATGTATTGAAGCATTTTTGGATAATTTAATTGTTGCATCTATATTCACTTGTCTATGTAATCGAGAGAGGCATAAATTGTAATATTCTTGCATTATATTGTTGGTTGAGTTCATTAATTCTTCTTAGTAATCGAAACAGGCTAGTTGAATCATTGATTAAACCTAGTTAAGAGGATAATCGAGAGAGGATCTCCAAAAGACCAATCCACTACGCATTCTTGCATATCTTCACCTAGCTTAAATTGGTCATCTTGTGAGGTTGAGACTTAATCGAGATAAGAGTTTCTACTAAATGTTTGAACAAATAATTGAGTGAATTCGAGTGACTCACTTGAACATTAGAAGTGAATTATCTAGAGTTAGATCCCAAACAATTTTCTTGCACCTATCCTATCAAACTTCTCCCTTTGATAACCTTCTTTGCTTATTCCTTGTTTCAATTGTCACTAGTCAATAGTTTAAATTCTTAGTTGATTTTAGTTAGAAGTATGATAATTCTCAAATGTTGATCATCTTGGATAGCAATCAAACTAGAAACTGTGAAATACTATTTAACTCCAACCCATGTGGATACGATATTATACTATACTATATTTAATTAACGAGCATAATTTTAAGTGGTTCTTTGCGCTCATCAAATTTTGGCGTTGTTGTCGGCGATTGACAATCAATAGTGTTTGAAATAGTTGTAGTGCTAATTCAATAACTTTTTATTTTTATTTTATTTTTCCCTTTTTACGGTTGGTGTTCTTTGACTGTGCGCATGCTATAGGTTAAGAGTGGTGCATGACTCGAGATTCTAGGAAGGAAGTGCTACCATATGAACCAGAGGTAGAAAAACAACTACGACAGCTGAGGAAAGAAAGAAATATCACCGAGAGTTTAGAGAAGGTCGGGAAATCCTCAACCGAAGAAACTTTGGCTGGAGACAATGATGATAATGTAGATTTGGCTGCAAGAGAGGTAACCCAACAACGAGAAAAACCTGCATGGGATGTTGAGGAAGCAGCTATTAGATATGCACATATTATCTATGAAGAAGAGAGGGCTCGTAGAATTGCTCAGAATCAACCCTTGGCTGCAGACCAATTCAAAAATATAGCTCCCGGAGCTGGGAGATCATTTGGTGACTATGCTAGAAGGGTCTACAACCAAGGATTATCAAGTGTGAGACCACCTCCAATTGCAGCTAACAATTTCGAGTTGAATCAAGGGTTGCTTCAAACTCTTCAAAACTGCTGTGTCTTCAGAGGGAAGATGAACGAAGATCCAAACAACCATCTAATGGACTTCGAGGAGATTATGAACACCTTTCAATACTATGGGGTGTCACAAGATGCAGTTTACTTAAGGGCATTCCCCTTCACACTCAAAGATGATGCAAAGCAATGGCTTCGAAGCTTGCCTATTAGATCTATTAGAATATGGGATGAGATAACCAGAAAATGTCTTGATAAATATTTCTCATCAGCTAAGAGGAGAAAGTTTAGAATAGAAATCCATAACAGAAAGAGACTGAAACTGTGTTTGAAGCATGGGAGAGGTTTAAGGAGATAATGCAAAAGTGTCAACATAGTGGAATGAACTCTGGATGCAACTCCAGGACTTTTGGGATGGATTGACACCGGCTTCATATAGAACTTTGAGCAATGCAGCTGGAGGCCCATTGATAAAGAAGACTCTAAAGAAGATAGTTACAAATCTTGATGAGTTGTCTGAAGATGCAAATCAGTGGCCCTATGAGAGTGCTAAAAGAAGATGATCAACTCGTGTTCACCAAGTTGATGCTAATGCTTCTGTGCAGGTACAACTTGATGCTACGGCTAAAGAAATACGAAAGCTAATATTAGCCACCATACAGAGTTAACCTCATGCAGCATGTGACATATGTGGAAGATGACACCTTACTCATGAGTGTCAAGCCTCAACTGAGGAAGTAAATATTGTGGGAAATTAAAACTTTAATGCAATGGGTCAGAAGCACCTCAGTTTTTCATGGAGTTCATATGGGTGAACTGCAAATGCATAGAAACAAAACAATCCTAGACTCAGGGACAAGGAGCTTCGGTCTTCTAAAATCATCAGAGGCAACAATATCAGCCTCAACAGCCCATTCAGTCTGGCATGGAAGATCTCATGAAGGCCTTCATTCTCAAAAATGATGAGAGGCTTGAAGCTCATAGCTCAGCCATCAAAGAACTGGGCACGGTTTATCGAAACTTGGAAAGACATGTTAGGCAGTTAGCTACAATATTATCTTAGAGAGTTTCTGGTACTCTTCCTGCTGATACAGAGAGAAACCCCAAAGAAACTGTGAATGCTATAACCTTGAGAAGTGGGCAAGTGTTGAAAGATCCTACCCAGTCCAAAAAGATGTGGAACTTGAAAAAGAAAGTAGGGAGCAGCTGAAATTGATGTTGATAAGAAGAAGAAAATTAAGAAGGGAGCTGAGAAAAAGAAGAAAGAAGAGAATTCGGGAAGGGAGGAACCTGAGGAGAGCAAGTATATGCCTGTTTTACCTTTTCTGCAAAAGCTATATAGAGAAAAGCTAGACAAGCAGTTTGAGAGATTTCTGGATATGCTGAAATAGGATAATGTAAACTTACCATTCACAGAAGTGCTCTCACAAAAGCCAGCTTATGCCAAATTCTTGAAGAAGATCCTGACAAAGAAGAGAGATAGAGGAGACCTTAGCGGCCAAGGTCACAGAGCATTGCAGTGCGATCTTGCAAAACAAACTCCCACAAAAGTGTGGAGATCCAGGGAGTTTTACTATACTATGCTCTTTGGGTACTATTAATTTTGGTAAGTCTTTATGTGATTCTGGTGCCTTGATTAACTTAATGCCCTTGTCTATTTAAAGGAAACTAGAGAATGAGATTGGAGAGATAAGGTCAGTACCAATATCCTTGCAGCTAGCAGACCAAACAACTCTAATACCCAAGGGGATAGTTGAAGATGTCTTAGTTCGGGCGGATAAGTTTGTATCTCCTATAGATTTTATACTAGTGAGGATGGAGGATAATAAGGAGGTCTCCCTCATCCTAGGAAGACTATTCTTAGAAACGGGTAGATCAATATTAGATATACACGATAGAAAACTCATACTTAGAGTGGGTTAGGAGACTGTAACTTTCAAGATGGATGTAGAAACAGGGGCACAAAAGGAGAAACCAGCTGTAAGTGTTGAGTGGAAAGTGAAGGGCTTGAAAGTGAAGGCTGCAGTGAAAGATAAGTGTGGGATATACCCCAAGAAGGCTGAGAAGAAGCTGTCGGCATGGATGTGTGCATTAGTCCTGGCGTGAGGAATAGGGCTCGATTTCGACTCAGACCCCTACTAGATATTCAGGGAAGTTTCCTTTACCTTATATTTTTTAATTGTGTGTCATGGAGACATACCACAACTTAAAGTGTGGGGTGGGGGATATATTTTATGTATGTACGTATATTAGTTTTAGTTTTTTTTTTGTTAGTTATAGTAGTTAGAGATAGAAAAAATTAGAAAAACTAAAAATTTAATTTTTTTGATTTTCCCGACAATGGATATCATCGACATGTTTCTTGAGGGATTAAAGTCGAAGGAAAAAGACAAAAAGATTTTATTTTGTTATGTAGTGTAACAAGTCCCCCTTGGTTTTTCTTTGTGCCGCGGTTCTTTTTCAAGAATTTTATTTGAACAGGGTGTAGTTAGTTTTTTTAGGAGTAGTAAACCTTGTGCTATGATTTGAATTGAAGGCAATATCTCTTGACTTTATTATACCTTGAGAATAGTAAGTTCTTTGGTTGTGATGCTTGGGCTCAGTTTTTGACTCTTGTATAAGCACCGTAGATTGTATGATCTTAACTTTGCTTAACTGCTTTGACTAGAGTATCTTGATGAGTCCAATCCTGAGTGAGTTGTGTGCCATGTGTGTGTGAAGTTTTGTGTATTCTGTGCATTACATTTGATATCTAGAACTTGCCTTGTATGTTTGCAAAACGAAATAGTAGTTTTATTTAGTCTTGGAAGTGATATAGGAATTTCTTTGTTGAGCTAGATATATGTCTTACCCACCTAATTATTTTGTATCTTAGTTAA